TTAGAGTTTCATATCTTCTTTCAGTTGGCTCATTAAACAGGTTTACATTATCCTTTAGTTTAGAATTGAAGCTGACATGACATAATCTATTCAACTTTATTTAGTCTATGGCGTCAACACCAACTAGCATGAATGACACACACACTTGGATCAAAACTAGATTCCAATAAATCAATCAAACTACCAACAACCAAAACGAAACAAAACACCTATCAGACATGTTAATAATGACATTCGAATAAACAAAAAGTAGAGATTATCACTAACCTTAATACACTTAGGGTGCGTTTGGTTCACGGAATATAAGATTACCAGTGGGAATGTAAGATTACCAAGGAATAGCATTACTGGGAATGTTGTATTTTGTGTTTGGTTGGCTTAGCAGGAATGTAAGATTACCGTGTTTGGTTAAAGGAATAAAAGATTATTGGAATGTATATTTGACCAAATTGTCCTAATTATATATTTGTGTAATATTACAAGTTAGAAAATATTTATATATTTTCTTTAAAAAAATTAAATTCATAATATTTATATATTTTTTACAAAATTAAAAATAAAAAAAAGTTTAATGAAATGATAAAATTTTATTTTAACCCTTGAACTTCATATAAAATTTTAATTATAGATTTTTTTTGTAAATCTAAAATAATTTAAGGATAATTTGTAATTTAATCTCGTAAAATTTTATTATTCGATGACAGAAGAAATATATTTTTGAAAAAAAAATAAAAATTTAAAGGCATTTTAGTCCAAAACGCTGGTAATCCAACAATACCTAAGGAAATGGAGGTAATGACATTCCCGGTAATATACCCCAAAAAATCCACTATTGGTAATCTTACATTACCGGGAATAGGATTCCCGGACTAACCAAACGGGGGAATGTGGATTACATTCCCATGGGAATCCCACATTCCCCCATCCAAACACCCCCTTACGGTTTTAGGATTGGGGTGAAGGATCTTTTGTATCAATGATTTTGGCCCAGGAGAAAACCAAAATGGACGAGAAAACTGGGCAGCACTAATCTGCACATTAAGAAAATGATAGTTTGAAATTTCACAGTTATATCAGCACTCCTACCAAATTCTCAAGGGGTAACATTAAGTTGAAATAAGTTGAATAAACATTAAGTATGAAATGGGTACATAGATAACAAGGAAATTACTCATTACAATTTACAACTCAAAAGAATGGAGGCAAGTACTCATTAGTAATATTTAGTCTAATATTTACTGTTGGTTTGTTCAGTATGAGAAGGATTCGTTTCAGGATGATGGCTCTGTTGTAGTTCTCTATTTTGGTGGTATTATTTTCCTTTTGTCCCCAACTTTTCATCTTTTTAATTGTTATTGTCAATATGATCAATGAAGATACATTTCAAATGCATGGAATTTGTTAGCATCACACTGAAGATTGAGAATGATATGTGAAGACGACTTGTATTTTTTTGTCACCTTATTTGTTCTTCCAACAAAAAGAAAGAAGTATCAGATTTTCTAGTTTGTATCCATAGTATTACATGAGATTTCATCTGTTAAGATAAAATTAGGATCAAATTATTGGAATTTCGGTTGTTTGATATCTCAACATCCTTGGTTTGGTTGGCTTATTCATTGTTGTAACTAAAAACTGACAGACAGTATTGAAGCAATGATTGAAGAAATTTATTATGTGAATTCTCTAATTTTATTGAAGCAATGATAGGTTCAGGAGATTGATAATTTTATTGATACTCCTAATATGCACAAAATAAGAAATGCATCAATTGTACAATTCATGAATATGGATAATACTTTCATATATAAGATATCAGGTCTTGTAGTCTTTATAAACTCAATTCTAACTACCCTTACCAACTATGAAGAAACAAAGCTTGAATCAAAGTTGTAAAGGTGATGATTGCGGCACTTACCTTCTCAAAATCATCCAAAGAGAAACTCAATTCTAACTACCCTTACCACTATGAAGAAACAAAGCTTGAATCAAAGTGTAAAGGTGATGCGGCCAAAGAGTGTAGCTCAATAAAGTTTCTACCTGGGTGCTCTAAGAAGAAGACAAGGAACTTGAGCTTGGGAAAAGGGGTGTAGCTTCTCCCTTAATGCAAACACGGTAACCTCACCCAAAATTTTGTTTTTCATATGCACAAGGTTCTAATAACATTTGTTCCTCCTCTTTATCTCATAACTACAAATATTATCCTTTTATGATTATTTGGGTCTAATCATTTACCATTTAAGCTCAAACTTGTCCAACAATTCAACTTTAGTTTTACAGTGCAGTAACCAACACGAAAATGGCAGTTATTTAAAAATCAGCATAATTAATGGACAAAACTTTCATAAAAAGGAAGGACTGGAAGGGAAACAAGTATAACAGACTTATTTGTCGTGCTCTCAGCAGCAAAAGGCTTCGTTTTTAATGCTGACATAACATTATTAACCCTAAAATTGAATCAAAAATGAGAGTGGCATTGATAATATTGGAGAAAAGATAAGTGGCTGATGATTCGCGGTGAGATGGTGGATTGTGGTGAACACTAAACCCAAATACACAAAGCTAAGTGGAGGAAGATTTGGGGGGGAAACACATAAAGGATCGGGATTTCGAATAGGGGCAGCGTTTATTACAAAAACGCCACTAATGGAGAAAACATTACAGTGTTTATTATGAAAACGCCACTAAAGGAGAAAACATTACGGCGTTTATTTCAAAAGCGCCACTAATTCAACTTTTTAGCGGCGTTTGGTAACAAATGCCACTAAATACAACTCTATTGCGACGTTTATGTCAAAAACGCCATTAAAGTACAACTTTTTAGCGTGTTTGGGGTTTAGAAACACCACTAATTAATAGTATTTGCGCGATTGATTTAAAAAACGTCGCTATAAAAAAAAATATAACTTTTTTAAGGCGTTGTTTTTAAATGCCACTAAAGTATATTCTTTCGCGACGTTTTCGGATACAAACGCCGCAACAGGCGATCTATAACGGCATTTTTGTATACAAACACCGCTAATAACCTTTTATTTACATAATATTAGTTTCATTTTACATTTTCATTTATGCTATACATCAACTAAATTCACTGATATAGCTTATATAAGTACAACACCATACATTTGAATTAAGACATAAGGTATGTATAAAATACTTAACAACATAACATTACAATTTAGAAACATTAAAGTTATGCATAATAGTCTTCACCATGTTGTTCAGTAGAATTTAGTTGTGGTCATTCGTGGGGAAATGATGTAGGAAAGATTTTTTTCCTTGTTTGACGATGCATCGTTAAGTTTTCCTCCTTGTAAACTCTATATGGATAAAACTCTTCGTCCATTTCACCAAATAAATCCCCTACCTCCGGTTCACCAAGAATACTCCTTGCGCGCTTCAGTGCTTCACTTGAAACAGATAACGACCTTCCACCTATAGTATGAAACTTGATTGTAGGTGGCTTGGGAACTGAATAAAAATTAAAATAAACTTAAATAGATGATATAAATGTTTACTTGGAGTAACAGTAGAGGCAACGCATCTTCATGAGGATAGATACTGCTTTTGCAATGAAGATTCTTTCAACACCACAGAGTTACCAAATTCAGTTCTAAACATCGGGTATTTATCCATTCCTATATCATCATTCTCAATAAGCTTCGAAGATCCTACATGCGTACGATCTATGAAATTTGACTGAGCATAGAAAAATAAATTATAGCGGTTGAAAAATTCATAGAATATTACCTTCAAGAAGGAGATCGACCATGGAAGGGTATGGAGCAATAGAAGTTCCTTTCGGGTCATCATCGAGTTTTGACAACGAGACCACCGATATCCTCCCAACGATAATTTGATCATCGTTAGAGCAAAGCCACGACATTCCGACGATAATTTTCTTGGTCAATGCAACACCTGCTTTTTTTCTCAAATACGTTAGCTTTCTGGGTTTCCCCATTTTTAGAAGACCAAAAAATGAAAAAGATCATTACTGATAAGAGGGATCAAACCGTGCAATTGTGTTATAGTTCGTAAGTGAGAGGGCCAATTTGGTCGTTGGGACATACAAAAGACAACGTCACTTGGAATCGTTTGATGGTTGTTGTTGTACCAGAGAATAAGCTTGAGGGAAGAAGAGATTAAATGATTTTAGGGTTTGGGTAGGAGAAAAGGGAGGACTATATATTTAACATTTTGCGGCGTTTATACAAAAAATGCCACTATTGATTAACACTATTGTGGTGTTTGTTTAAAAAGCGTCACGATTGATTAACACTACTATTGATTAACACTATTGCGGTGTTTGTCTAAAAGCACCACTATTGATTAAAACTATTACGGCGTTTGAGGAATAAACGCCACTATATGTATACACACTATTGGTTTTGTGGTATAAACGCCGCTAATTTACCATTCTATTATGACATTGGGCTAAAACGCCGCAAAATTTATACTCTATTGCGACGTTTTTATAATAACGCCACCATAATTAACCCTTCTGTGGCGTTTGTCTATAAACGACGCTAAACTATTCTTCATTGTGACATTTGTTGGAAAAACGCCATTATAAACCACCTATTGCGGCATTTTACAAAAAAACGCCGCTATATGTCTACTCTATTACAGCGTTTGTACAACAAACTCTGCTAAAGTATTAATTTGTGGCGTTTCGATTGTAAACGCTGCTATATATTTAACTTTTGTGGCGTTTTCTCTCCAAACGCCGCTACAGAACAGTTTTGTTGTAGTATTTAATACATATTCAACTTTTTTATTTTTATAATCGTTGCATCAATGCATTATGATAATCGGTTAAAGGAAAATTTTATTCTTTGGATTTCGAGATTCATCTGGATGTAAAAGAACAAAAATTTAATTGATTATTTAAAATAATCGAGAAGATTTTATAATAATAATAATAATAATAATAATCTATCACAAAAGCAATTACTATAACATAAGCAACCATGGGAAAAACGAGCAGAGTGCACTATTCATTAATCGTCATCTGTGGAAGTCTTCTTCCCTGCATAATAAATAAATTTAAACCCATATTAACCTTGAGGATTTAATGTAGCAAAGAAAGTGGTAACAATTGATACATGTGCCGGTAGCAGCACGGTTCGGTTTATTAGGTATTCCACGTCCTCTGCCACCACCCCCACTCCATCCACCACTAACATCTCTTCCTCCATTTCTACCACCACCACCGTCTCTTCCTCCACTCCTACCACCACTTCTTCCGCCACTGGGACCATCAAAGAATTCACCTCTTGGCTTTGCCTCCTCCACAGACGAGGAATGCTTATTAAGTACAGATCCATCAAGTTCTAGGGCTTTGTTGAAACTATCACCATCAGTGAAATCCATATAAGCATAACTGCAATGCATTGTATATTATCAGATACGTTGTTCAACTAAAACATACAGTAATCGACTACGTTCTAATAGGTTATTTCTCTAACATCATGCTAAAAGCACCAGGCCTAAGCTTCTTATCTACAATCTTGGGATAAGGATTCATCTCATATAAATGTGTATCTCTAAAGAAGAGTGTTAGAAGACTGCTTCAGGACTGAAACAAGTCCACATGTTTTTTGTTTTTCTATAGCGTTTTATTTTGTGTCAGCTTCTGTCTTCTTTGGATTCCTTTTTCATAGTTCCTTATAGCTTTGGATACAGATGATTACTTGAGGTCATGTCCTTCTTTTAGATCCCATAGGGCGTATAGGGGGCGGGCTCGACAGAATGGTGCCAATGAGACTAGACTTAGAGTTTGTACGATGAATGTAGGCACATTAAATGCTAGGTTGTTGGAGCTGACCGACGTACTAAGTAATAGGAAAATAGATTTTGTATGTATTCAAGAGACTAGGTGGAAAGGGGCTCACGCCAGAGAGTGTAACGGGTACAAGTTGTGGTACTCAGGATAACGCTAGAAATGGGGTGGGTATCTTGGTTTCCTAGACTCAAGGATAATGTTGTTAAAGTTTGCAGATACCGGGATAGGATCATGATGATTAAGGTCATTATAGAAGAGGAAGTGGTGAATGTCCTTTCGGTGTACACCCCACATGTTGGCCTAGGTGAAGGGGAGAAACGTTGCTTCTGGGATTCGTTAGATGATGTACTTAGGAGCATTCCGGAGGACCAAAGAGTTTTCATAGGGGGAGACTTCAATGACCATAGTGCAATCGACGGGTATGACGGTGTTTCATGGGGGTTTCATTTTTTGGTAGAAGGAACGAGGAGGGGCGTACGTTGCTTGAATTTGTTATTGCTCACGATATGATGGTCCTAACTCCTCCTTTAACAAGAGAGATTGCAACTTGATTACGTTCCATAGCGGGGGACATTGTACCCAATCGACTACATCTTGGTTCGAATCTGGATCGACGGGATTGCATTGACTGTAAGGTGTTCCCTGATGAGGCATGTGCATCATAACACAAATTTTGGTGTTGGTGTTCCGCGTACGCCATGGGCAGAGCACTCATAGGTGGGATAAACTAGGTAAACCTAGGATCCTTTGGAAGAACTTGCATGGAGCGAAAGCTGATGACTTTAGGAGTAAGGTTTTGTCTCATACAGGTTTTGGAACTACAAACTCAAAATGCAGATATATTATGGAAAATATGGCATATGCCATCAGAGAGGTGGGCAAAAACACCCTAGGGTTATCGACAGGGAAGGCCAAGGAATATAAAGAATCATGGTGGTGGAACGACGAAGTCCAAACTAAGGTGAAGACAAAGCAAAAATGCTTCAAGGAGTTTCTACAATGCAATGACGACGAAGAAATCGAGAGCTAAACAAATATACAAGGAGGCAAAGCGAGAAGCCAAGAAAACAGTGGCTAAGCAAAGGATAAGGCATACGAGAAATGTAACAAGAGATTAGATACCAAGGAAGGACAAACGGCATCTTCAGGCTTGCAAAATCTAGGGAGAATAAGAAAAAGATCTAGGTAGCATTAGGTTTTTTTAAGGACAACAATGGTGTTCTTTTAGTGAAATCATGATATAAAGAGGGTTTGGAGTAGTTACTTCTATGGGCTTATTTAATGACGGTGCCTCTCCCTATAGAGATAGTACCGTTGATGGGTCATCGATCATCATACTACGGCCAATAACTGCCCTACTTGTACGGTTGGGAGTGAGGAAGTCAAAATGGATCTTAGAAGATGCGGAGGGACAAAGCTGTTGGTCCAGATCAAATTCCTATCACTGTGTGGCTGGCCTAGGAGAAGAGTGAGTAAAGTGGTTGACCAACATCTTTAATATTATTTTAGAGACTGCCAAGCCAGAGGAGTGGAGAGTCTACGGTGATACCAATCTATAAGAATAAGGAGATCCCCAACGTTGTGGTAATTATAGAGGTATTAAACTACTCAGTCATACAGCTATGGGAAAGAGTGATAGAGGCTAGGTTGAGACAGGTTAACGGTTTCGGAAAACCAATTTGGCTTTATGCAAGTAGGTCTACTACGGAGGCGATTCATCTACTTCGACGGCTTATGGAGAAATATAGGGGAAAAAATAGAGATCTTCACATGGCGTTCATTGACCTGAGAAGTATGATAGCGTTCCCTGCAATACAATCTAGAAGACCTTGGAAACGAGACGGATCCTAACTGCTTATATCCGCGATTCGTGTTATGTACTGTCGATCTACTACATATGACAGGATTACAGTTGGGGACACAGAGGCTTTTCCAGTAGAAATCGGACTCCATCAGGGTCGGCTCTTAGCCCTTACATCTTCGCCTTGATTATGGATGACATCTATTGTGCGACACCAGACGGTTTTCCATGGTGTATGCTTTTCGCTGACGATTGTCCTAGTTGCTGAAACAAAAATGAGCTGAATAGTAGACTGGATAACTGGAAGAAAGCTTTGGAAGAAAAAGGTCTAAGGATCAATACTGAAAAGACAGAGTATTTATGTTCAAACTTCAGTGGGAACCAAAACGATGAAGATGTAGACGTATGCATTGAAGGACACGTCTCCCCTCTAAGGATTGTTTCAAGTATCTAGGGTCTATGATACATAAAGATTGGGGTGTAGATGATGATGTAATGCACCGTATAAAGGCGGGATGGCTAAAGAGGAGGGCAGCTACAGGAGTTTTGTGTGACAAGAAGGTGCCTCTAAAACTTAAGGGAAAATTTTATAGAGTTGCAATAAGACCAGCGCTGATGTATGGATCAGAATGTTGGGCAATCAAGAAGGATCACGTAAGGAGGATGGAGGCCGCAGAAATGAATGCTTCGATGGAATGTGGTAAGACTCTGTGGGAAATGACTCCAAACTCTGCAATTAGGATGTCCTTGGGGGTGAAGCCTGTATCCGAAAAATTGAGGGAGGGAAGACTACGGTGGTTTGAGCATGTCCTTAGGAGACAACAGTCTGGCGGTCAGGAGGGGTAGAGTCGATTATAGTCGACGGTGCCAGAAGGAGAGGACGACCAAGGAGGAAGTGGGTAGACTGCTTGAGATCTGATTTGAAGGATTTAGCCCTTACCGAGGACATGACCTCTGATAGGAAAGTATGGAGACTTAAGACCAGGGTAGCAAGTAGTGTGGGTCACAGTCTAGGGTGTAGCATCTCTGCCTTCTTTTTAATGCCTTTATAGTAATTTCCTTGACTTCTACTTTGAATATGTTTCTGTCATGGGAATTTTTGAAGGATTAAAACTAGGATAGCGGAGTAATGTTGCATTAGTTTAGGTTTTAACCCATTTGACATTTTTCTTTTATCGTAGCTTGCAACAACTGACTTTCTGTATATCCTTATCATGTTTCGTCTTTTAAATTTATTTCGGACTCACGTTTTTTTGTCTATATTCAGAGATTTGTATGCAGGGATTTATTTGCAGGGATAACTTCCCATTACAGAAGCGCATATGAGAGACTGTTCAAGTATTATTTATTTTTCTTTATTTATACATGCATTGTATTTATCTTTATTTTTAAATTTTTCTGACTGCCGGAGGTCTTCCACGGAAGCGCTCTCAACCTGGCGTTGGGGACAGCCTACTACCCTACCTCCCTTAACCCCATTACATATGGGAATAGGGTTTTGTTGTTGTTGTTGTTGTTGATTCATATATTTTAATTTGAATCATCATTTACTGGACAAACAATTTGACAAAATCATAAAAATTTTAAAAATAAATAATATATTTGGTATTCAACTTTCCTTGGCATTATAAACATTTTATAGAATGAATACAAGACTAACAAATTTCAATACTAATTTCAGCAGTTTATTTTTTATAATTGAATTAGTAGTTCATTAAAGACATTATACTAATAAGTATTGGCAATCTATTTTCGTACAAACGGTTAATACAAAGACTTAGCTGATTAATTGCAGAAAACATTAGTTTAGTTTTATCGATAAGACACTGACGTGCAAATCCAAGACCCAGACAGAAATTTACCTTCCGTGCACCCTCTGCAGTAGCGAATTCACATCCATACCCCTTAAAATTCCCTTCAAAATCAGTGGATACTGTCATTTTATATGATATAAACAGCAGTATGATGATTCCAGTGGATGATGTGAGTATTGAGGCTAATGCTTGATAGAACAAAAGAATTTCTATGCAAGATCTTGATTATTTTTATCTTTGTTGTTGATTTTTGTTTAGGAACATGCTGCAAAAACTAAGGTAGCGACAGCCGTTAAAAATGACTCTGCATCTGTTAAAAAGGCAAGCTCTCCTGAAGTTCAGATGAAAATGAAGTAAGTTCTGTATTGTTAATGATCTTTGCTTTTTAATTCGATTAGGAAACTATTGCATTATAATTTGTTTATGTGAGCTTTTTCCTTTCGAATACAGGAAAAATCAAAACCTGCCTCCGAGAAAGGACCTACTACTGTTGCAAAAAAAGTGCCGACTGAAAGTTCAGAAAGTGATAGCTCGTCGGGTGAAGAGGATGCGAGTATTGTGTTGCCTGCAATGTTACAATAAATGAATATCTTGGAATTATTTAAATGTTTACTTTGATGCCTTGAACCTACCTTCTAATTGTGATTGAATTATTATTTGTAATTTCACTACTACTACTTGTATAGGAACCTCCTCGCAAGGCTACTTTACCAGCTTCTTCTGCGAGATGTCCTTCACTGATGCAAAGGATAAAACTTCATCCACTGATAGCGCTCTGAGGAGGATTCTGATGAAGAGGTGTGATGTCTCATTCATGAAGTTCCCTTTCCCTTTTTTTTTTTTTTTTGGGTTTCTACAGCCTCTTTTTTCTGCTGCTGCACTAGGATGCAAAAAAGCAACTTCTGTGAAGAGCTTCTGCTCCCACCCTTAAGAAAATTGAGGATTCCAGTACTAGCTCCTCTGATGATAATGATTCTGAGGAAGAAGTGGTGTGTCCCTTTACTTATGAATTTATTAGTATATGTATCAATTTCAGTTCAGTCATGGTTCTTTACTTTTTGTTCTTATCGTTAATGAATAAATGTTAGCAAAAAGTTGAAGCAAAGGATGGTAAGAAACCTTTTACTGTGAAAACTTCAAAGAAAGAAGAGTCGTCTGAAAGCTCCGAAGATACCGATTCCTCCGAGGAAAAGGTAATTGGTAATCATGTGGTATTTAGTTTTGGTCTGGTTCCTTTCTAATCGGATTATATGAGAAATTAACAATTTTTTTCTGAGGCGGCGGCATTTCCTAATTAGTGTTTGTGTTATATTCATTGAATTAACAATGATACTGCAGGCTCCTACAAACAAAGCTCCTGTTGCTGCAAAAAGGCCACTCCCCACAGCTGGTACAAAAAAATCAAAAGAGGTTGCTTCTTCTTAGAATTTTTGCATGTAGTTACTCTCTGCATTCGTACAAGTTCTGATATTACGTATACCGGGATATGTTTTTTCCTTGATGAATTTTTAACTTTATTTGATGGGCTTGTATTTGTATTCTTGTGTGCGTTAATCAGACAGCTTTTAATTTAGTCATAAGTTTGCCGGTTATTATTCCTGAAATTTTCTCAGCAACTTTTTATCGAATGGTTTAAATTTGGAATCTTCCAACATTGTTCTGAATGTGACCAAAATGCCATGTTCTACTAATCTTCTCTCTGATGAAAGTGAGGATGAACCACCTGCTGCCAAAAGTCAAATTTCTTGATCATCTATGTTCCACTAGATGTTTCTTTTATCATTGATATACAATCGATTTCCTGAATTGTCTAATTCTGTAAACTGCAGTCTAAGGTTTAAGGATGCCAAGGTTGTTAAAAAGTAAGCAGTAGTGAAGATGAGGAATCTGAAGAATCATCCAATGATGATGAGGAAAGTCATGAAGAAAACTCCAAAGAAAAGGTTGGAACATTGGAATCTGTTTTTTTCTTTATACTTTTGGAAGGTTATGATGATTGCCTAATGAGATGTTGTACTTGTATATTGGGATCAGACACAGATGTAGCAATGGTGGATGCCGCAACACCACAGAAAAATACCAAGCAGCAGGATTTAAAGTCCGGGAAGAAAGCTGTAAGTGCCAATTTCATTCCAGTTTCTTCCAAATCTTATCCCGATTGCTTTTTTGCCTCATTTTGTCCATCAGGTGGAAATCTAGTGAGATTCTTTTTTCAGCTCCAAACCCCCACAGCCCCTCAAGTTCAATCCACAGGTTCAAAGACACTGTTTGTTGGAAACTTACCTTTTCAAGTAGAACAAGAGGATATGTACGTTCAGGTTCTCCTGTCCTTTAATTGAATTTTTCTTTTGTTTCATCTTATATTTAGTTAATTTCAGAATATGTTTGTTTGTTTTTTTTTTTTTTTTTGCTATAACAGAAACAAAGTTAAAACGAATTAGCAAAATGCCGAAGCAATCACTTGGACTGGTGGATTAACAAGAGTATTTCTTCGTCATCCAGTATTCTTATTACATTAACATGGTAGTCCCCCAGTAATGTTATTGGCGAAGACGTTACCATTTTAGCCAACTCGGCATTTTACTTGCACCTTCGTGCGTGCATGGTGCACAAACACATCGTAAATGACCCATAATTCTTCTATTAAGATCACACACTCATCGAGGCTCTTTGAAAGTCAAACCACCACTTCTCTTCATCATATCCTAGTACACTGTCCACAGCCGCTTCCATATCACTGTATCAAACATCTGAATAAAATAATCAAATCATGTGAATAAATGAAATTTAAAATGACCACAAAATATTTTATGAGGATAATAGATTTATAAAAATATCATTACAAAGATTAATCATTAAATTAACTTTCAACAATTTTATATATGTAAAATTCGGTTATAATACTTTAGTATAATTTTTTGTGGTTTAAATAATCATATACTAATTAATAAATAACTTTTGTATTTAATCAATGTAGTAGCCTTTCTCTGTGTTTACCATAATAGCGTTTGTTACCTTTTCCGAACAGCGAATCACTGAAATCGCCGGTGTCGTTCTTTCTTTGGATCCCAAACCTATTCCGGTTTGTCTTGATATTAGAAAGTTCTATAATACGTACTTTAATATAAGATTAAATAAACGCTATTGATTTTGTCATTGTTTAAATAATAAAACAGGTAAAAAAAATTATCTAAAATATAATTATTTTTACTTAAAACATCATTTTTTTCACATTTCCGGTAAAAATGCCTAAGAATAATTAAACCGATAGCGTCTAATAATGTTTTCGATCATTTTTAGCGTCTAATAATATTTTTGATTATTTTTTACTAATTTTATTATTTAAATAATAATAAAATCAATAATATCTTTTTTAATCTTATATTAAAACTTCTGCAAGTGAGCATTATCATTGACACCACCTATACCCATTAGATTAACAAAATTTTGTTTTAGCTATTTTTCACCTAGATGCATTGTTTTCCATTAACAGGGGACTGGAATGGTGCTGACGCTCGTACCAACAATAGGTACATACTTAATCCACAATATTGGTGAAGTTACACCTGTTGTGTGTTGACTGGCTGTTGAGCATGCTAATAGACTTTCAGGCCTAGCTGTGCATGTTTATATAGCCTTGAAGATTTTTTACACAATAAAAAAATTATATCATTAACCACTTAATTATATAATCTTTTTAGTTTTATTATTAATCTTTTATTTTATTAATTAGATTATTTAATTATATTAATTAAATCATTATTATTATCAGTTGACGAAAATACTGATATTTTTATATTTTAAAATTAAATATTTATAATATTATTAAATTTTAAATTTTTATATTTTAATACTAATAGTATGATATGTGTAAGTTTTAAAATATAAAATATTAACTTTTGTTTTAAAATATAAAAATCTTAAATTATTTTATTGTAAATATTCCATTAACTATAAATATATTTTGTTGTGCATTAGAATACACATTGGCTTTTTGTGTAGTGGCTGGGGCGCTTTCCATTTTCCCGTGGGACGTTGGTTGGACTCCTCCCAATTGCAATTATATATAACCTTTATTTTCCAATCGAGGAGATGACATGTGTTATATTTGATTGGATAAATAAATTAAAATTAATAGAAATCCTCCAGTCATGTGCGACTCGTACCATGATTCTATAAGTGACACATGTAAGATTATGATTGAATGATAATTTATTAAATAAATTTAAATTAGTAATAAATTGAGAGAATGTATAAATATCAAGATTAAATGTAAAATTATGTCAATTCTTTTAACTAGCACGTCAATATTTTCGTGGTTTACATAGTTAGGTGTCAATGTATAGTTTACCCATAAAAAATACTTTCTTCCTCATATTTAGGTTTCTAGAAAACTCATTACACAACCTCTACACTTTTTTTAAGTACTGTTTGTTTCTCATGTGTCGTAATCGTCCTTCCGGTGATCCCGAAATCGAGTTTCAACTTGAATTTAATGTGATGGAGTGTCATCGATCATTTAAATTAGGTCGACATGACACCTAATTTGATATTATCTGGTCTACAACTTATAATTAATTAATCAGATTCGGGAGTCGATTACAGTTAAGGAATGATTAGCACACTTGTATTGCCCTTTCGGTACCAATTTGATTTCCCGATTATCTTAATTGTGAAAATTAAAAGTTATAATTAAAATTTAAATATTCATCCGAATCACTTACCTTCGAACAATTTAGGTCAGGCTCGCCATTGTGTTGGGCTACTATACCTTTGATGTGATCCAATTTAGCATCATGGATATTCCACCCTTACAAGGGAAGAGACTTTCTAACTTTACACATATATGCTTATTTCAAATATTTTAATATAGTTATTTTCATCTACATATATTATATCTATAGTTATATGATAACTTATCCATTAATATGTGAGATATAAGTTATCATAATATACTATAGTTCACATACTTATATTATACATTATATAAGTTTATATACTTAGTTATTTCTTTATGTTATTCATGTAGGCACATTCGGCCAACACTTGGGAGCTACATTGGAGCTAAATGGAGCATGCAACACAATGAACTTACATGGGAACGATTAGGAGAGCATAAGGAGCAAATTGGTGAAACAGTTGTTTTGAGGCCGTGAGTCATAGCTAGATTGAGCTGAAGATTTGAGCTACAAGATGACCTCATTTCAGTTGGGGAGCTGCACCATCATCATCACCACTTAGCCACTTCAAATATGTCCTAAGTCAAAATTTGTGAAATCGTACCTTTTTGTGAATAGTTTCCAACTCAAGAGGTACCTTTTCACAAGAGCTGCCATAATGTTCACCATGCTACAAGTCACCTATGGCCAGCTCACCTTTAGTTTATTCACACCATAAGTAGCTCAAACATGAAGGACACCTTTCTCAAACATTGTGACCTTTCATGAATGATGCTGCCCATGAAGATGCCTTTACTTCCAAGAGCATGCTGATGAAGACATTGTAATCATTGGAGGTTTAAATCACCAAGGAACATGATATAAAGCTCCATGCCTATTCGGCCACACACATGCCATGCACATGAGAGCTTTTGGTGCCAACATGAGAAGACACAACACCATTCAGCCAAGGGACATGTTCCTCATCATTGTCGAATCATCAGCCCCTTAATGAAGGGTTAGTCGAACCATCACAAGCCCAAAGGACTCATTCATTCATTTTAAGCATTATGTACTTTCATCAAAATCCATGTATCAACTGAATAGCTATGTAACCATTCGGCCAAGCCCTCTCATTTCCTATAAATAGAGTGGCTGCCTTCATTTGTACTTATCTCATCTCATACATAAAAATTACTCTTGTGAGTTATTTCTCTTCAAAGTTCTTCGTGAACTTTATCGATTAAACAAGTATAGTTCATATATTTGTGGCGTCATTCCTTCCATCATGATTCAAAAATTCCTAGATTGATATCTAGTGGGTTGAAGACACTATCACCACTCCTTAAATAAGTTTGTGAAGACAGGGATTGTGCTTCATAGCATAGTTTCCTCTTTGGCGTGTTGAGATACAACATCACCACCATTGCCATTTCATCATCAACATCCTTCATCAAGACCATCATCAATTCCATAATTTCGCAGCCATCTCTATCCTTTTTTTTATTTATATTCATTTCTTATCCTTATTATTTCACTTATTCTTCCTTTATTAATCATACCTTTTCTTATCTTTGTTGCAGCCAAGCTTATAATTCAAGGGCATCAGTACTTGTCAATCCTAGATCGGGACACAATAAGACTATCTACTCTCTTCCACCAAAGCTTGTAGATCACCTTACATCAAGCGGTAACCAGAGCATAGTTGGATTGACAACAAAAGTGTCATTGGTGTGTAAAGCAAAAAGAAGTTCAAAAGAGAAAAGACTCATTCAACAAAATTGGAGTGAAAAAAGAAAGAAAAATATAAAAAGAAGAAAAAATTCAGAAAAGAAGAAAAGAAAGAAAAAAATCAAAAAGAGAAAGCAAGAGGCAAAAAGTGCTCTACCATTACAACAACATCAAAGAGGTCATCTACACTAAGAGAAGATAACCTTATTGTTTCTTGAGAAAGGTTGCAATAAGTGTTGTTTCTTGAATTGTAAGTTGCCTCTTCCTTTTCTATCCTTTCATTTTCCTTGTCTTCAACCATTTCTTTCTTTTAATACCTTGAATTCTTTCTTCTACCTTTCCATTTCTTCTATTCTTTCTACCATAACCTTATTTGCAGCACACACACAAGGAAAGAATTAACTTGTTCTAATCTTGAGTAAGCTCCTCAAAGGACTTAGCAAGAGAAATTGAGTGGAAAAAGGCTAATTGAGAGAGTGAGATCAGAAGGGGAATTGTTAAAAGCCAAAATTATATTCCCGAGAGTAAACACGAGT